AGGTAGAGGAGGGGTTACCCCTCTGCTCTCAGAAGGCAAAAGGAACTCGAGGAAGGTCAAACAGCAGATCTGTGTTTCCACTGCCCCACTTTTGGRGAATTGGCAATAACAGACAGCCCTGAAGTTTTCAGGTTCTTTAACCTGGATTTGGACCTGAGAAATAGAAACAAAACCTGACCCTGGGAATATCCTGCAGTTTGAGCTGGAAACACTTCTCCAGAAGGGGTGGTGATTTGAAATGGATAAACCAGTAGGGTCTGAGCTTAGGGAGACAGATCCTAACTCAGCCTGGTTGTTACATTTAATAACCTGGGACAAAGAAAACTTGGGATATTTTCACTTCTGCCTCTGCTGTGCTTTGGCAGAAAATGCAGTTGTAAAGCAGACAGAAATTATTACAGTTAATCTCTGTTTATCCTTTCCTTGGATATACTGATTATATCAGGAGGTTTCTGAGGTGTGAAATATTCACAGGCATTTGGTTAATGAGTTGTGTCTCGTTGCTGTTCATTCATGGAACTTGCTCTTTTATTGTGTTTGCTTGGCTTAACAACAAATTTTGCTTTTCTKGTGTTTGATAAATCTTTGCCAAATTATTTCTGATCGTGTCCATTAATCTTCAGTCACATTTGACAAAAAATAAATTGCTCTGATCTTTGGAAGTTACCAGTAATAATTAGATTCTTTTAAGGACTTAAAAGTTTTGGGAGACCAATAGATGCTAAAATCTSTGTGCTGGGTCCCTCATGACAAGAAGGACTTTGGACTCAGTGATCCTGAAGTCCTTTCCACCCCAATGGATTCACTGAGAGACTGAATTTCCTGTGCACATAAATTCCAAATGTGCCCCACATTCTCCAGCTCTCCCTTGGTTTTGGGCACCTCTGAAGTAAACTCTGAGTAAGCAAAGCTGCCCATTATCTCCCTCTCTGGAATGCCCTCTAAATTTTTATTTTAAGAGGTTTTGAGCTCTGCTGCAAAGGGTTAAAGTATCCATGCAAAGGCTCTGTTCCTCAGCTCTCATTTGCTTGCGGGAGCGTGGCCCTGTAATGTGCTGTGATGCCTTTCCATTGTGAAAATCCAGCTTTTAATGTGCTGCTGGTTAAGTTCTGCTTTGGCTTTTCCCTCAGGAAGCAGGCTAAAATTTTTCATTACAATATAGACAGTGCRCTACACTTTGAATACAAATTCATCCATGTACAGAGTAATTTTTCTTGTGATTGTCTCTACCCTAGAGAAGTGTCTTTAATGAATTACATACAAATTGTATAATTTCAGAAGTTAATTTGGTTTTCTGGTAACACAGGACTAAAAACAGCCCTTCTAGAAAGAGATGATTTCTCATCAGGGACCAGCAGCAGGAGCACTAAATTGATCCACGGTGGAGTCAGGTACCTCCAGAARGCCATCATGAAGTTGGATTTTGAGCAGGTAATTGTTTGTGCTGGTTTTTAAGCAAAAATTGCTGCTAGACACTTGACTGTCCCAGTTAGATCTGAGTGTCCTTTGGAGTTTTTCAGTGCTTGAGGGTTGAATTCCATGGCACTGTGCACAAAAAGTGGCTTCTCTTCTCCAGGGGCTTGGCARGGCTTTGGTGGGCAGTGCCATTGCCATGCCCT